CTGTACTGTCTTACACTGTTCAGTAACACCGTACTGTCTTACACTGTTCAGTAACACTGTACTGTCTTACACTGTTCAGTAACACCGCACTGTCTTACACTGTTCAGTAACACTGTACTGTCTTACACTGTTCAGTAACACCGCACTGTCTTACACTGTTCAGTAACTCTGTACTGTCTTACACTGTCCAGTAACACCGTACTGTCTTACACTGTTCAGTAACTCTGTACTGTCTTACACTGTTCAGTAACACTGTACTGTCTTACACTGTCCAGTAACTCTGTACTGTCTTACACTGTTCAGTAACTCTGTACTGTCTTACACTGTCCAGTAACACTGTACTGTCTTACACTGTCCAGTAACACTGTACTGTCTTACACTGTTCAGTAACACCGCACTGTCTTACACTGTTCAGTAACTCTGTACTGTCTTACACTGTCCAGTAACACTGTACTGTCTTACACTGTTCAGTAACACCGCACTGTCTTACACTGTCCAGTAACACTGTACTGTCTTACACTGTTCAGTAACACCGCACTGTCTTACACTGTTCAGTAACTCTGTACTGTCTTACACTGTTCAGTAACACCGTACTGTCTTACACTGTTCAGTAACTCTGTACTGTCTTACACTGTTCAGTAACACTGTACTGTCTTACACTGTTCAGTCACTCTGTACTGTCTTACACTGTTCAGTAACACTGTACTGTCTTACACTGTTCAGTAACACCGTACTGTCTTACACTGTTCAGTAACACCGTACTGTCTTACACTGTCCAGTAACACTGTACTGTCTTACACTGTTCAGTAACACTGTACTGTCTTACACTGTTCAGTAACACTGTACTGTCTTACACTGTTCAGTAACTCTGTACTGTCTTACACTGTTCAGTAACACCGCACTGTCTTACACTGTCCAGTAACACTGTACTGTCTTACACTGTTCAGTAACACCGCACTGTCTTACACTGTTCAGTAACTCTGTACTGTCTTACACTGTTCAGTAACACTGTACTGTCTTACACTGTTCAGTAACTCTGTACTGTCTTACACTGTTCAGTAACACTGTACTGTCTTACACTGTTCAGTAACTCTGTACTGTCTTACACTGTTCAGTAACACTGTACTGTCTTACACTGTTCAGTAACACTGTACTGTCTTACACTGTTCAGTAACACCGTACTGTCTTACACTGTTCAGTAACACCGTACTGTCTTACACTGTCCAGTAACACCGTACTGTCTTACACTGTTCAGTAACACCGTACTGTCTTACACTGTCCAGTAACACTGTACTGTCTTACACTGTTCAGTAACACCGCACTGTCTTTCACTGTTCAGTAACACCGCACTGTCTTTCACTGTTCAGTAACACCGTACTGTCTTACACTGTTCAGTAACTCTGTACTGTCTTACACTGTTCAGTAACTCTGTACTGTCTTACACTGTTCAGTAACACTGTACTGTCTTACACTGTTCAGTAACACTGTACTGTCTTACACTGTTCAGTCACTCTGTACTGTCTTACACTGTTCAGTAACACCGCACTGTCTTACACTGTTCAGTAACACTGTACTCTTACACTGTTCAGTAACACCGCACTGTCTTTCACTGTTCAGTAACACCGCACTGTCTTTCACTGTTCAGTAACACCGTACTGTCTTACACTGTCCAGTATGACACTGTGTGTACTGTCTAACACTGTCCAGTAACACTGTACTGTCTTACACTGTCCAGTATGACACTGTGTGTACTGTCTTACACTGTTCAGTAACACTGTACTGTCTTACACTGTCCAGTATGACACTGTGTGTACTGTCTTACACTGTTCAGTAACACTGTACTGTCTTACACTGTTCAGTACTACATAAACTGGAGTAGTTTTACATATGAAGATGGGTAAACATAGTTTTTACTGTTGTTTCTCAGTGATTTTAGTCTCTTCTGAATCTGCCACGTCTCCCACATCAGTGTCTTGTAGCTAATATAACACAAAGCATAGAAATAACCCCAGCTTACATTAATCTTGTGTGATTGACAGGCAAAACCTCTGATATATTCTGTGGAAAAGGAGTTGTTGTATACTTAAAGAACACTAAAGGGACATTTCTTAGGGAAATGCACCTAAAATATCATTTTCTGTATTTTTGTTAATTATGTCACTCCTCCCTCCAACTTTGCTGCTTCTCAGACTTTTGCTCCCGAACTCCAATTCCCATAATTCAGAGGAGGATCACATGACTCAGAACGCTCTGGGATCAGCTGATCCTAGATCAGCTTTGCTCAATTACTGATTCTCCTCATCTGTGTCTAGTCCTACATATATATGTATATATTCATTGTTTGTCTGTCGTCACTTCTTTATAAAGTATTGCCCCAGTTTCACTTAGTGCTGTTTAACTGCCTGGCCTGTTTTATTTTGGACCTGATTCATTTTTTTGCCTAGCCCTTTTTGTATTATTTTGTCTTTTCTGGTTTTTGACTCTGCTTGTGTTTTCTGACCTTTCGCTGTATGAACCTTTTGGCTTTTGCTTGCTCTCTCTCGGTTTTGCGCTTTGCCTGTTTAGTCGCTAAAAGTTTGATCTTTCTTTTTCATCAAAACCTCAAAACTGATTTTTATCTGTGTCTGATTTGTTCTGACTCATTACATTATTTTTTAAGTGACAGGCTTTAAATTATGCTTAAATGCTGTAAGGAAATACACTTAATTTATTTCTTAACAGACTGAAATATACATAAGCTAAAGTATGTTTCATTTTATCCACTTAAGTGTATTATTTAGAAGTATATTTTTAAAGTTCTGACTTATAAAGTATGTTTTAATATGTTTTAGTTGCATTTCAGTTGTAATACAACTCAATCTAACTTGCAATTGAATATGAGTAATGGGAAACCCAAGAGTATGCATTTAAAATACAGAGTCATGCAAAAGTCACTGTATTTTAAGTGCCTTAAATTCATAAGTGGTGTGAAAAAGTGTTTGCCCCTTCCTGATTTCCTATTCTTTTGCATGTTTGTCACACTTAAATGTTGTTTCAGATCACCAAACAAATTTAAAACATAAATTAACTGTGGTTTATCACATCTTTGGAAAGCTGAGTTCATTTTCCCTAGCCACACCCAGGCCTGATTACTGCTTCCAAGACGAAAACCACCGCTGAGCAAAAAGAACATTAAGGCTCGTCTCAGTTTTGCCAGAAAACATCTTGATGATCCCCAAGACTTTTGGGAGAATACGCTGTGGACTGATGCAGGTGTATGTCCCATTACATCTGACGTAGAAGTAACACAGCATTTCAAAAACATCATACCAACAGTAAAATATGGTGGTGGTAGTGTGATGGTCTGGGGCTGTTTTGCTGCTTCAGGACCTGGAGGACTTTCTTTGGTAAATGGAACCATGAATTCTGCTGTCTACCAAAAAATCCTGAAGGAGAATGTCCGGCCATCTGTTCGTGACCTCAAGCTGAAACGCACTTGGGTTCTGCTGCAGGACAATGATCCAAAACACACCAGCAAGTCCACCTCTGAATGGCTTAAGAAAAACAAAATTAAGACTTTGGAGCGGCCTCGTCAAAGTCCAGACCTGAATCCGATTGAGATGCTGTGGCATGACCTTAAAAAGGCAGTTCATGCTCGGAAGCCCTCCAATGTGGCTGAATTACAACAATTCTGCAAAGATGAGTGGCCAAAATTCCTCCACAGCGCTGTAAAAGACTCATTGCCAGTTATTGCAAACACTTGATTGCAGTTGTTGCTGCTAAGGGTGGCCCAACCAGCTATTGGGTTTAGGGGCAATCACTTTTTCACACAGGGCCCTGTAGGTTTGGATTTCTTTTTCCCTTAATAATAAAGATCTTCATTTATAAACTGCATTTTGTGTTTATTTGTGTTATCTTTGTCTAATATTTAAATTTGTTTGGTGATCTGAAACATTTAAGTGTGACAAACATGCAAAAGAATAAGAAACCAGGAAGGGGCAAACACTTTTTCACACCACTGTGTATATATATATATATTTTTTTTTTCCAAAATAATGTTTAATATGTATTAAAGTACGTTTATTAAATAAAGTATGTAATTATTAAAAGCACATACTTTTCATATTAAATATATACTTCTGAAAAGTCCCTTTTTCTTTCACAAGGAAATGAGACACTGCATTCCTTTATGCATTAACTCTCTGTAGGTGGTTAGGGTAAACAAAAAACATGCCTAATTAAATGCTTTGACATGTTTTCTGTTTCTATTTCTATTTCTCAGTTTTTTTTTTTTTTTTTTTGGAGTGAAGGCCACTCCTATCAGTGTGGCTTATAAAAAGATTTCGGTAACACTTTACTGTAGGGTACTGTTCATAAGGCTACATGACACTTACATAAGGTTGTCATTACAACTGACATAACCCTACGTAACTGTTTATAAATACCTGTTCCAATAAGCGTCACTCGCTATAAAGGTTACATTTGCCAATTTTGATCAAAGTCAGCTAAAGTAGCCTTTATGACAGATGGCGCCTGTTGTAATAAGCATTCATAAATAGTTATGTAGGGTTATGTCAGTTGTAATGACAACCTTATATAGGTGTCATGTAGCCTTATGAACAGCACCCTACAGTAAAGTGTTACCAAGACTTCTTATCTCATATGAAATGTCATAAACATTACAGACGTCCTATGGTAAAATTATATTACTCCACCTCCTCAGTATCACACTGTCCAGTACTGCACTATAACTGTCCTGCACTCTAGTATTGTGTCTACACTGTTGTGTAGTGTGAGAACAGTGTGAATACTTTCATTATACTGCACTGATATTAGAACAAGAAAGTTGATTTGAAATGAACTGAATTTTTGGTACAGGGTGAAGCGCTCTGTGATCCTCATGAACATTTCTGTGATCCTCAGAAGAAGCTGGATGTTGCCTCTGAAGTAGAACTAGAACACTAGAGGGCAATAATGAGCCACAACATCAGCAATGAGCTTTTTATTGAGTTAATTTAACACATTTTGTAATAGAAACTTGTAAAGGCACGTGCTATAATTTATAATGCTGTAAAATGCAAGTCCATGGCAGTCTATGTACGCTGTCCACTTCACACTCAGTGGTCCTTTTGCACTTTCGTTTCATCTTCCAGTGGTCAGCAAAACGTCACAACGGCATGAAAGAGGCTGGAAGCACTTTGAGTTTTTTTTTTTCACATATTCGCTTACAGTGAAAACAAACTTTGGTTTAACAGTAAAGCGACAAGTAATTGTGTTATAATAATACTTATAATAATATTTGTTCGCAGTGCAAAGTGCTCTTTTTAGAGATGCCACAGAAGAACGAGTTTTGGTTCCTTAAAAAACAAAAAACCTTTGAACCTGTTAAAGTCTGATGAACCTTTTCAAGAACCTCCACATAATGGAATGGTTCTAGATCAGTGACCTTGTTAGCATTCATTCTCAAAGAAAGTTGGACGTGGCCTCTGAAGACTGTGAGCTGGACCTGGTGGACCTTGACACAGAGCCTCTCTCCAGCATTCCACTTCTGTAGAGCATCTGCATGAACTTTTTCCTGAACTTCTCTCCCACGAAGGCGTACAGCACCGGGTTGACGCAGCAGTGCAGCAGGCCCAGGCTCTGTGTGGCGAACATGGCCACGTCCACGATGCCACGCTTAGTGCAGTTGTTCGCTATCAAGTTGGCCCTCATTAACGTGTCGACTATGGTGGCCATGTGGAACGGCGTCCAGCAGAGGAGGAAGGCCACAACCACCGCTACGATGACCCTCATGGCCTTCTGGCGCTGGAAGCCTCTGGTGCGCATCAGCCTGGCTATAGTAATGCTATAGCACGTTAGCATGACGGCTAGCGGCAGGAGGAAGCCTAGCAAGTGCCGCATGATGCGAGTGGCTAGCCGCCATTCGTCTGAGCTGTCCGTTTCGAAGCGTTCGGCGCAAAGCTGTGGCTCGGACGGTTTGAGAAAGAAAGCTTCGTTGTAGAGAGCAGGTAAGGATAGAAAGATACCCAAAAACCAAACTGCACCACATACGGCCCAACTGCACAGCCTCCTCCGGGCTTTCCGGGCCTCCATAGCCCAGACAATGACCATGTAGCGGTCCATGCTAATGCAGACCAGGAAGAGTATGCTACTGTAGAAGCTGGCCTCCTTCACCAAGCTGACTAGTTTGCACATGGTGTCTCCGAACAGCCATCCGTGCACCACAGAAGTAGCGTGAAAGGGCAGTATTAGCGCTAGCAACAAGTCGGCCACCATCAGGTGGAAAAGGTAGACCTCCGACGGAGAAAGGGATTGCCGGTTTGAGCCAATCACAAACCCCACAATCAGATTTCCAGGGATGGCCAGCAGGAAAACCACAGCGCAGAAAACACATACTGTAATGTTGATGATGTGCGATATGGAGATGGAATGGCACGGGATGGTTTTCTTGTCAACATGGAATTCAGTGTAGTTGAGGAAGTCTGTGTAGTTGAGATCGGCTTCATAGAAATCGTCAAAGTTCAGCATATGGTGGGAGGTGTTTGGATCTACAGTGAGAAAAAAAACAGATTAATAATCAGTACAACGTGGGCCGTACGTCCCACCACATACTTCACAACATGTTTATCCTTAAATCTGGTGTGAAATATATATTTTTTTTTTAATATGTACATCTGATTGGTAGATTTGCTTCCTTCACCAAGCCCTAAGGCTGGTTATCCAACATCAGCTCTATAAGATCAGCTTAGACCGATGATTACAAAACCTATGGAGTATTCGTGCAGGTCAAACCTGATGCAGCATGAACGCTGCACACTGTAATTTAGCCATAACTAACTTGGCTATTATTCTAATTGAGGCCGATAAAAAACAAACCCACTGAGAACAGAGATTTAACCACTTTCTGAAAACGGCACTCGCAACAACTTCGCTCACTTTCAGCAGAAATGTCAATGATATCATAATAAGAGTCCTTGCTAAATGTAAGTTTACTTGATTTATTTGTATACTTAAATATGTATTAAAACTACTGTCGTAGTCAAGGCCGTTAGAGCTGAGTCTGAGTCAAGACCAAGACCAGAGGCAGAGGCCAGATTAAGATTTTTTTCAGTATATAAAGTATTTTCAGTATATACAGTATTGCAGTATATACACATATAAGCAGTGGTAAGGTTGTTCATTCCAGTGATTCCAAATCACTACCTAAAGTCAGATTAATATAAACTAACATCCACATTTATTATTAAAAGAAATGAAAACATAATAATAATAACATTACCTTCTGTCCTCAAGGGATGTTTGAACTTTGGAATCAATAAATGTCAACAAATAAATAATACTCAGTTAAGCCATAATGGAAACAGTCAATTAGATCCTCAACCAGCAGATTTTATTTAAACATGAATGTGAATCTGTATCTAAACCTCAGAGTCAGAACTCTGTTTGCAGCTTTTCTCTCTTGACATTCAGCCTTTTCATTAGGAGAGTGAAAAAAATGTCAGCTAAATTCACGGAAGCTTTTGCGGTCAGTTGTGTTGCTGCGAGTTGCAAAAGTTTGAGAGAAAGGACTGTTTTATTCTTTTTATTCCGGTTTTGTTGATAATCAATAATAATTCAACTTCTTGTTACCTCAGACAGAGGCATTGCCCTCAGCTGGTCTCAACAACAGTTTCCATGTCCATCTTACCCCGAGACGGAGACAAGACTGAGCCAAATGAGGTCAAGAGGCCAAGATGAGACTGAGACCACTAGTTTATGGCCCCAAGCCTGAGACAAGACTTAAGTACTACAACACTAGTAATATCTCTCAGTATCATCTTTTTGTGGCCATGACATAAACTTTTTAACTACATCTTATGGACTTGTGTCAAATTTTGATTTGAGTCTGTAATATATTTCTGTATATTCTGTATGTCTTGTGTTATATATTCTATTTTACTTGAAAGATTTCTTATTTTTTGTGAGTTGTGTATATATGTATGTGTATATACACACACATACAAACATATTTAAATATATATATATATATATATATATATAGATATATATAGACACACACACATGTACATGTATATATTGCTGCTGTCATAACAAAACCTCATATCTCCATTTTTGTCCATTTTCTTTCAGTTGATGGCATAATTTGAAAATGCCTGTTGCCCTTTATATTGTCAATAAGTTTCTTGATGACTGGACTAAAAGAAACGGCCCAAAATGACTTGGAACCGTCTGGTTCCATTGACTTACATGGACAGTAAAGTGTGTTTTTTCCTTCTCCTATAAGTTACCATTTTGGAGGTTTTGTCCCAACTGCAGCAGTATATTTGTATATAGACTAATGTTCAAAAGTTTGGAATCACTGTTTTCAAGACAATAAAAACTTTTTATTCCACTCACATGTATAAAATGATTCTAATATGATGCTTTCAAATTTGTAGGAAGCTGTAAAAATGAAGAAATTAGTAGATGTAGATGATTCCATCACAACTGAGAAAGCTGAAAGAACATATAGTAAATTTAACATCCAGAATGCCTCACATTCAAAAAGTGAAGGCCAAATTAGCATCTTTCTAATTTTAAGATGTTACTGTAAGTAGGTAATTACAGTTATTTAAAATATATATATGTAATTTTTTTTCATCGTATTGTTCCCAAAATACTACAGTTTGAATAAACCATCAGTTTATGATTTGATGTCTCATTAAAAGTATTTCAATCTACACATTATAAGTTATTGATTACTATTTTTAATATTATAAGTGATTCCAAACTTTGGAACAGTATTACATTTTTAAATTGTGAATGTATACATTGTGTTTTAATGGATACCTATAAAAGCCTAAGATTCTTATGATTAAAGAGTTAATTAATCACCCTCTTACCGGTCATTGTGGCTTCTGCTTCAGGCGGTTCACACTGTGTAAATCTCAGCGAAGAGGAGCAGAAGCACTGAGGGTGCAGTGCATAAACACACAGCCATCAGCAGTGATGTTATATCCTGTTTACTCAATTCCAAATGCCTCAGCCAAAAAAGTACCAAACCATCTCACTGCCATAAAACCCTTCACTCAGATCATAAATCCCTAATCGGTGTTATATACAGGGTCAGACGATGACCGCTCCAGTTTATTCCTGAGGTGAAGCTCTATCCGAGAGGAGCGCTGAGTGTCCAGCAGGCTTGGTCTGTGCTGATGATCAATATGTAGTAGTCATCGATGGACGAGGATGTTGCATTTATGTAGCAACCAAAAGCAGAAGAGGGTAGTGGTGATGATGAGAGCTCACTGGGGAAGTTTTACACACTCATTTGGTCACAAGACTTAGACGGCCACTCGTGTCAAACTTGGGGTGCCAATATGACCATAACAACTATAACATTGAAAGTAAAACCAAGACTGTCATACGCTGGGCGTGTGATTAATAATACAAACTTAACTAGATGACAACACTATACTACATATACATACATACATGTACATATGTATATATATATATATATATATATATATATATATATATATATACACATATACATACAGTGGTGCTTGAAAGTTTGTGAACCCTTTTGAATTTTCTATATTTCTGCATAAATTGAACCTAAAATATAATCCGATTTTCACACACAGTCCTAAATGGCCTAAAGAGTACCAAATTAAACAAATGAGACAAAAATATTAAATCCAATATTTCATATATGTGAGTGGCAGAAGTATGTGAACCTTTAGGATTGGCAGATAATTTGGAGGTGAAATTAGAGTCAGGTGTTTTCAATTAGACCTATGTATCCTGGCTCCTGACCCAGAAGGATAAGCGATTTAGATGATGTGTGTGTGTTTGTGTGTGTGTGTGTGTATGTGTGTGTGTGTGTGTGTGTGTGTGTGTGTGTGTGTGCGTGTGTGTTTTCAATCAATGAAATGGCAATCAGGTGTGAGTGACCACCCTGTTTTATTTAACCTCTTATTGACCAGGGTATATTAATATTACAAATCGTAAGGCAAATTATTCAGTAACTGCATGAAATAAATGTAAATTTTTATTTTATTTATTTATTTATTTATTTGTTTTTTCAAAAGCTCCCGTCAAATTAACAGAAAATGTGTTTTATGAGTGTTTTATTTATACACATATTGCTATATGCTTACAATTTACTGCTGAATGCCAAAAATCTTAGACGCTCTTTGTATTATTTTATAAAAATATTTTTTACAGAGCAGATCACTGAAGTGACGCCATCTGTTTATAGTTTATAGCCCAGATTTGTGGAAAAATGGGTCGACTTTCAGTAGAACAAAAAAAATCGTGAGTTCAGCTTCTTTTAGTATAAGGGTTTAAAATTACATCACCCATCTATTAGACTGGAAAGAAGACAGTCACAGCTCTCATACGACCCCCACCTTCTGAATGTAGCTTATGAAAAGTTATGAAGAATATGACGAAGTGCGTTTTGGAAACACCGGTGGTCTCAAGGAGTTGAAAAGGTTAAAGAACAGGGATCTATCACAGAGCGCAATTACATGAACTTAATAATCTGATAACTGCAGAAAATCAGATTTTGTCAGTAATCCGATAAACACGTTTGCATGTACTTGAGTAATCAGATAATAGGGAGATAATCCGGGTCTATATGAGTCAGACAGTAATCTGATTTCTGCTCTGCAACCAGCCAATAAACTCACAGAAGAAGACGTGGCGTAAATGTAACTTCATGCCGCCGCTTTTTTTTAAACATTGCGCCACTTTAGCTAAAAATATGAACATACATCATCTAGAAGATGAAGAATATTTGAACCCTTCATTTCGTGTGTGGTTTCAGTGTCGCTCCAAAAGTGTTTTGCTGCGTCTCGTAGCAACGCTGCTCGCTTGTTTCCGGTACCACTGTCTGTTTTCGCACATGTGCAGACTGAGAAATCGGAAAGAAATGAGAGTAAGAGTTCACATGCACTGAGAAATCTGATTACTGAGCTAAAATCCAGCCTCTTTATCAGATTTCTTTTATCAGATTTCTAGATCAGAGTATGGTGTTTACATGACCACTTGAATAATCGGATAACTGCAGAAATCCAATTATGATTGGATTATTGAGTACATATAAATGCACTCACAGTCTGATCTTCGCAGCATGTTTGTGGAAGAGTATCAGGGCACGAACAAAGGTGATTCTGAGGACCTCAGAAGAAGAGCTGTTGATGCTCATCAGGCTGGACACGGTTACAAAACCATCTCTAACGAGTTTGGACTCCAATCACAGTCAGACAGATTGTGTACAAATGGAGGAAATTCAAGACCCTCGTTACGCTCCCCAGGAGTGGTCGACCAACAAAGATCACACCAAGAGCAACACACGTAATAGTCTGTTAGGTCTCAAAGGAACCCAGGGTAACTTCTAACCAACTGAAGGTCCGTCTCACAGGGGCTAATGTTAATGTTCATGAGTCCACCTTTAGGAGACCACTGAACAACAATGGTGTGAATGACAGGGCTGCAAGGAGAAAGACACCACATCTGCCCGTCTGCAGTTTGCTAAAATCACATGGACATGGACACACAAGTCGTTCTACCAAAGAATGGTTAAAGGAGAATAAAGTTAATGTTTGGAACAGCCAAGTCAAAGTCCTGACCTTAATCCTTAAATTATATATATATATATATATATATATATATATATATATATATACATATATATATATATAGATCAGGCATAACATTATGACCACCTCCTTGTTTCTACACTCATTGTCCATTTTATCAGCTCCACTTACTGTATAGGTGCACTTTGTAGTTCTACAGTTACAGACTGTAGTCCATCTGTTTCTCTGATACTTTGTTAGCCCCCTTTTACCCTGTTCTTCAGTGGTCAGGACCCCCATGGACCCTCACAGAGCAGGTACTATTTGGGTGGTGGATCATTCTCAGCACTGCAGTAACACTGACGTGGTGGTGGTGTGTTAGTGTGTGTTGTGCTGGTCTGAGTGGATCAGACACAGCAAAACCCACCAATTTGACGGAGTTGAAGCTGTTTTGTACACTTTATTAGAAACACCTCCTTGTATTTCAACTAACTGGCTGCTTTATTAGAAACACCCACCTTGTACTTCAGTTCAGCAGTTTATGGGGGAAACCCACCAACATGACAGAGTTGAAGCTGCTTTATACGGAGGAATGGGCTGAAATTCCACCCTGCCGATGTGCAAAACTAATCAACAGAAACACCTGTGGATGTTTTCAGATCTGAATCAGCTTGATTTTCTCCTCTCTCTCAGAGATGAAAGCTTTAAGTGCTGTTTATCTGATGGGGGCAGTTTTGGTGTTGACCAGGTCTTCCAGGTGGTTGTTAGGAGCCCCGATTTCTCTGTAGCTTTTAGTCAGTTTTTTGAACTTCAGTCTTGGAAACTCCTGTTTTTTCCTCTGACTTTCTGTTTCCTTATTCAAATGGATGATCTTACGTCTAATCTGCTCAGAAATATCACCTGAAACATGAATAACTTGTACTTAATGGCTGTTTTGGCCAGTAGAACTGGTAGATTTGGACAAACTGTATATATGGACACAACACACACCGTTACACGGGATGTATATTTATATAGGCTGTATTTACTTTACAGTTCAAATATAAACAGAACTAACAAAAACAATCGATCAATCGAAGACAATTGAGTAAAAAACAAGCAAAATATATGATGCTGTAAATGATGATATGATTGTAAGAATCTAGTCTAATATCAATAATCTATAATTATCAGATTTTTTTGTTCATCACGGAGAACAAAACATATTTTCCTCACTTTTTTGATATAGTAAGAAAATATTACTCAAGTTTCAAAACATACTGTTCATTCCTCAGTTCATATGGTCTGTAGACGCAAACTAAACTGCTAAAACTAAAATAAAATCCTGTATTGAATTCACTGTTTTTGTGATGTCACAAAAGCAATGCATTTACCTAAGTTGACCTATGCAGCTTACAGCATTTTCGCCCCGCACATTCATGCTGAGGTTATAAGAAAAGTTTCAGCCAGACTGCTTTCTAAATTAGGCAGAGTACAGGGCAGCCAATCAGAGCAGAGCTCATTTACATATGCACTCTTAAAGGCACAGGAACAAAAACAGCTCGTTTAATTGTAAGGGATAAAAAGAGGTCATGTTTTAGTACATAGATCCACATAAATGTTATGAGTGGACCTCAACGAGAAAAAAAAAGAATATATATATACATATATATATATATATATAAATCATTACTGTTCATGCATTTAATCAGGCTGGTATGTTTAGATCATCTTGGTAGTTAAAGCCTCATAGTTAAACAAGGTGGAAGTGATGTGTCACCATCAGCCGAGCGTTCACAGGGCCTTGGCACATGAGGAGAAGAACAGCAGAGAAACATCAGAGGCCCCGTGTTTGGAAAACACCACTTACCACAACATTTTGAGCAAACAGGGAAATTGAGCAACGCATCTCTTCTGATGCTTCCTAAATCTTGTGAGAGCTTCACTGCTTCAGATCATGTTCAGAGCAAATGAAAGCAGCGCTTCTACACCTTCATCACCTTCTCAGCTCATCATAGTTGGTTTTAAAAGATCTGATGGTGGATTACCTGCTGTCAGATAAACAAACTCGATATATAGCTGCAATATTTAACTGAACAGCAGGTGGCGTCAGCTGCGTGGTACTGATGCTTCTACATACATACATACTGTAAAATTCAGTTATTTCAGATCGCATCACAGAACAAATTGGGAAAATATAAAAACATCAAATCAAAGTCGGTGTTAAAGAAGTGAAAACTTCAGAAAGAGTCAGGTGATATGTAGGTTTTTAACACTGCTACAACAGTTACACTCAAACTTCCCCTAATCTGATCACAAATACGGGAACTGTTTAGGTAAACAGCGTGATGGGCTTAAAAACTGAAACAGAAAACTGTATACAAGCTTAATTAGAAACACTTACCTGACTGGCCATTTTAATAGAAACACCACCCTTGTTCTGCCACCCATTGGCCACTTTATTAGAAACATCTATCTTGTGCTTCCACTACCTGGCACCTTTATCAGAAACACCCACCTTGAACTTCCACTCACTGGCCACTTTATTAGAAACACCTACCTTGTGCTTCCACTACCTGGCCACTTTATTAGAAACACCTCCCATGTACTTCCACTCACTGGCCACTTTATTAGAAACACCCGCCCTGT